AGTTACTTTTTATTTTAAGCCCATTCTGTCTAGCATACATCTTTAAACCTGAAACTTGTTTTAATGTCTTTTTTTTTTTTTTTAAAGCAGAAGTCTTTGTAGCTGGGTCATTTCATACTATACACAGGGAACGGTTCAAGTTCGGCACTCTACTTCAGCTGGAAGAAACTAAAACCTGTTTGAGGGCAATATGTTAAATTCCGTTTCTTCCAAAAGAAGTGCGCACGAAGCTCCAGTAAAGTTAATATAGGTTGCTCATGTCATACCAGGAATATGAGACTTTCTAAATCTCCCTGTTGTCTTTAATAACCCACAGCCCCTGATGAATTGAGTAAATGGGTTCAAAGGACAGCATAACAAACTACTTTTGTCTGGATGCCAGATCCACATGGTTTAGCTAGTTCTTCTTCCATTACAACATTTTACCTTCTCATTCAAGGGCAACTTCATACAGTGGCTCAAATATAATCATGGATCAATGAATATGGATTTATTAAGAACTGTGGAAGGACATATGCATCATGCCAGATTGCCACTGAAAGAGCACGTGGGATAGAATATGAATGTGGAAAACACATTACTAATTCACAGTAGTTAAAATGACCAAAAATTGAGTATTTGCCAGAAGAGTGGTAAATTGGTAAAGTATTCATAATGTAATTTGGCAAATGTGAAAAAACTCATCTTATGGACACTCAGATTCTCAAGTTATACAATGAAAAGCTGAAACGTCCCCCAGGAAATCAGCTGTGATTCTGGAAAATGCTGCCCATAAAAGACACATAACAGCAGCAGGTACTGAAGCATAATGCCACTTTGTGGGCTACGGCTATTGTTTTACATACATAAATTTGAATTTCTCTGTTTGATTACATTTGAAAAACAAAGTGAAAAATGAACAGGACACTTTATTGCAATTTCCCCTACTACAACACAGACCTGAGTTATGGGAGGAAAGATACTGCAAAATAGTTTTTATTAGTAATAACAACTCCTCCAAAATTCACAAACAACACATTCTGGTTTATTCATTCCTATTTGACAGTTAATGATTTTTCCCAATGTGTTTTTCACAGACTTAATATTGTCAAGGCTGGTTTGATTTTTGCAGCTTATTTCTTGACCAAGTCTCTCCAGATCTTCAGTTTTAATCACAGCCCTCCTTAGTGTTTTAGTTCTTTACAGGTCTGCTGTTTATATCAGCAGAAAGCTATTACCCATGTGCCCCGAGGCAACTGAGTATGAGGCAATTTAAAGGCTACAGAAGAGTTTCTCAAACCTTGCATAACAAAGGTGTAAGGTACAAAGTTAAATTTTCTTGAGTCAACTGGTGTAAACCGTGATAGCTCCACAATGGAGCTTGCTCCTAACAAAATTGGAACAGGAGGTAGATAAACAAGTGAGATTTTGGATTTTAAAAGCCCTGTTTGCTTTGCAAATACAAATAAAATGGAGTATTTACGGTAATGTCCTTCAATGATGTAAAAACTAAAAAAGTCACCTGTGCTGGTGAAGCATGTTTACACTGAAGACAAAATGGTGGGAAAAACTAACAAGCGAGATGGGAGACCAGGCAAAACAAACCCTGGTTTAGCTAACATATATATTAAACAGTAATAAAGAGAAAAAATAAGAAGACATTTTCATCTGGCAGATCCTGCTGTTAAAGCAGGTAACTATTTCTCTTTAAAAGCACCTAATTCTCCCTCAGGAGGCTACTTTAAAAAAAAAGAAACAGAGATAGTCCAAACTCTCCACCATTTTGCAGACCAAGCAACTCCCCTGAGTTCCTGGGGGATGCCTGACTGTGACTCAGCTGGCCTGTGGATTTCTTAAGCCTTTCTCTCTAAAGCAGGTTAAACCCCCAAATAATCCAGCCATTCTGTCACCAGCACAGATCACCAGCTCTCCTGCCGGTCCCCAGATTGCAAATGGCAACTGGGATGCGCAAACACTCCCCTCTCACCTCAGAGGGGTCTGTTTCCCACCCCTTCTCAAGCGACAGCCATCCCTCTAGAACCACTGTCGGTTGCAACAGGGCGAAAAAAGGAATACCTTTTTGTTTTGACACAGGACAGGTTTGAAAAATAAATAAGATGAATAAAACAGCGCAGCTGGCGGGTGCCAGGCCAACACTTACTTCTGGAGGTGCAGGTGATGCGGCCACTGCCCTCCCCCAGGCAGGTGCAGTCCACCATCATCCAGCCCTGGTAGGGCTTCTCCCACGTCTCGCCAACCACATAGGACGTCCCGGCCGCGTTGTCGTAGCATCGCTCAGCTGTGAGAGGGAAGGGGATAAGAGTCCACCCAGGGCTACCCCACATGAGGATGCCTCTAGGAAGACAAGGAGGAAGAGGCCATACACACTGACCACGCTGGGGGAGAAGAAGGGAGCGGCCACCTACCCACGGGCTTGCAGGTCCACTCGCCCTTCCCGTTGCCCAGGCACACGCACTCCAGCATGTAGCCGCCAGTCTCATGGGGCCGGCGCCAGGTATCGCCGATCTTGTAGGACTGGCCACCCTCGTGGCAGCGATCTGCAAGCAGGAGAGAGGGGAGCTGACGTGAGGGACCACACCAGGGACAGCATCACGGGGGTAAGGTAAGGGCCACCCAGCCAGGGGCAAAGGGGATTAACAGCTGGGGGGCAGTGAGGAGAAGGAGTGGGGCAGGACATGGCCTCCTCCTCCTCCAGCTTGCAAAATGGCACCTGCCCTTTTCCGCTGGCACCCACTGTTTTCTGAGCCTCCCAGGCCCTGTCCTCTCTCCTCAGTGAACCCCCTCCAGATTTCAAACCAGAGCTGAGACCTGGCTGGTGAAAGGGGAACACCAAGGCTTGAGGAGGTGCTGTTTCTCCCTCAGGCCCCACTCACAGCCTGAGGGCAGCCGAGGGAGGGTTTGCCTCCATCTTGTTCTGAGGTGGTACTGCTTGGGCCTCTCTGTGGCCATCCCTATAAAGCATGAGGGACATGGTGGCCAGGCCAGCATGTGGAGAATAAGGAGATGCTTGGTGTGACACCCCAGTGGGACATTGGTCCTCTTGGGTTTGGAAACCCTGCCCTGGGAAGGCAGATTCCTAGCCTGCTGGTGCCCCACAGCCCTGAGGCAGTCCCAGCCCACCACTTGGCCCAGGGAGGGAAGCGTGGTGAAGGGCAGTTTGCAAAAACAGGGTCTTCTTCCAAGGAAAGAGGAGAAACACGTATCTGGTCATTTATTAGGAGCCTCTAAAATGTTTCATTGGCTCATTTATGAAAGCAAGGAATCCAAGAGTTATAAACATTGATTCAAAGCCAGTTGCAGTCAATGAGACTCTCCAGTGAGCTCTAAACCAGGCTGATGAGGAAATGAGACTGCTCTTATGCTTGCAATTTCCTTACTGACTCTTTCTTTTCTTACAACACTTATCATCCCTGCCCAATAAAATACCATTAAATTCAGAAGGGCTTCAGCTCTACTTGTTAGATTCAAGGCTTTTTTTTTTTTTCCATGCTATAATGATGGCTGGCTTCCGAGTCCTCCGTGGCAATGCTACTAGGATCAGCATGTGTCTTAAACAAGAAACTGGATACTTTTAAGAACAACACTTTTCTCAAAAGGTGCCTCAGGGACTTCAAAATCTCAGTCCAAAAGTCCTGACACACAAGAGCACACACTTCGTCTGTGCTCACAGAAAGTCTAATTCTGAACTGAAAGGAAATTGTGAACAATTCAGTGACTCAATAAGGAAAGGATTTCCAGACAGAGATGTGAAAGGGAGAGCTGGGGAGAAAGGACCAAGGGAAGAGAGGGAGAAACAAGAGGAAAGTATGGATCAGGCTGGTGAAAAAGGAGTTGCAGAAACACATTGAGCTGGTGTCTGGATATCAAATCCCAGCTCCCTCAGAGACAAGCATGGCATGCCATTTTTGGAGGACAGGGGGATGGGCTCTCAGGTGGTATTTATTTATTATTTATTCAGAGTAGTCCCATTAATGCCAGTGGCGTTATTCTAACTCACCAGCTGCAGAGCAGACCCTCACTCTTTTTTCCAGTCAGAAAACTACTTTCATAAATGTACCTGTGAAGATGTAACACACTCTTGTATATAGTAAATGTACTAACCTGTATGGCTGGACACGAACAGTAATTTTTGGCCTATGTTTTTACACATAGCACTTTACCTCTTAAATAAAAGAGGAGTTTGGTTGTACAAATGTACGTACATGGGACAAGGACTTTCAGTTCCAAGATTTTAGCGGGCTCTGGATTAAACCCCCCCAACTCGAGCTAATGGGCATTGGGAATATTTTGTAACTTGCCCTGGAAAATATGACACTAAGGAACAATAGCTGTAGTAATAGGCTCTTAGTTACATACTGGCAATGGTGCAGCTGATTCTCCCACGTCCAGCTCCAATGCAAGTACAGTCCCAGATCATGGAGTCCTTGGGGCGCTCGTATGTCTCCCCTACTCGGTAAGTGGATCCAGTGTACTTGTCGAAGCACGTCTCTTCAGCTATGAGGGGAGAAAAAAAATCAACTTCATGTAACCATGGCAGTAACATGTACGGTCAACAGAAACACACATTCCCCGCCTCCTCACACGGATGCTCTTTTTTTCTGGGGAAAAATGCTACCAGTCTCCTCTTCCTTCCTGGGATGAAAAATTGGCCCCCCTCAAGCTCCCTATGATGCTGAAAATCTTGGCTTCCCTCCCACAGTTAGCCAGAAGTTGAGCATGGCACATGGACATGCATGCCCTGAAAGGATCAATCCCAGCTCTTTGAAGTGCAACAGTACAGAAAACAGGAGGGAGCAAACATCCCCTAGACGCTGTGCGCTTTATCATGCTAATCCTCCTCATTCTGATCTTGCAAAAAATTGAGATATTAATCCCAAATTCTACAGCAAGTCCCACCGAAGTCAGCAGCACTACTTGTGAATTGTTCACACTCGCGCATAAGTAAGTGATTACAGAATGGTTATGTCAGTGCTGCCACCAGACTTGAGGTCTGCAACAGAACAACCTTCTTCACTCCTGGACAGATAAAGTTAACTGTGCCATAAGGGAAACTTGCTATTGGACTTCCAAACTGTAAAACTTGGGAATCCCTGCAGGGGAAGGAAAGCTAGATTAAACCCCCTTTTATGGAGGAGTAAGGGGACTGAGTACTCCTTAAAATACTCTAGCTGTGAGGCAGGCAGCACGCAAGCGTTGCAAAACAGACTGCTGGGTGGCTCCCATCTGTCTTACATGAACACTGTCAGCCAGGAACCAGTTTTTCTCTCTTCTATCTCCAGAGCAACATAAAGGAGTTAAGGCAAACCAGTGGCTTCAGACCAATAAATACGGATAGATCACATCTGATTATCTAAACTACATTGTATCCCAGAGAGATGCATCTTCCAGCAGATATTGCTTTTAAAGTTCTTTCTGTTACCTAAACTTTTTCTGCAGAAGACTAAACAATCTCACTTTACACTCAATTATAGAAAGCTCACAGCATGGCTGGGGGGCTGTGGAAAGTTGTAAGTTGAAATATTTTTAAACAAGCTGACGACACAGCACAGCTATGAAAAGTTGGGGTGAAGCAATCAAACAGCACAGAGCCAGAGCTGCAAAGTGACTCCAGATTTGAACTTCCCATGCGAGTCCAGGAGTCAGTTCAGTTCATTATAAAGAAGAGGCTGGCTCCAAAATTAATGTTTAGATCCAATCCTCCAGAGAGATGAGTGATGTTTGGCTCAGGGTTCTGGTAGCCGGCCCATTGCTAATGAAAAGCATTTCTTAAAATCCCAAGCCAGATCTTCAATGTAATTGAGTGTAGATCCGTTACTGACCCTAAGTACCAAACTTCAGCTGAAAACCTGGTCTGCCAGTTATACCTCGGTACGAGGCTCAGCTTACTCAGCATCAAAAGCCATTCTGGGGTCTTGATGCAGACACAAAAGACCACCAACTTACGTTCGGGCTTGCTTTCGCAGTTAAACCCTCTGCTTCCACCGTAGCAGGTACAGACCAGCGTGTTTCCCAGGTAAGTGCGCTCCCATTGCTGGTTTATCTGATAGTATCTTCCATTGTCAAAACAGGTCTCTGGGGGGGAGAGGAGGAGGAGGGAGGGAGGGAGCAGAGGGGGAAGAGAAAGAAAAGTTTGGAGTCACCGGCGGCCGGGACGGGACGGGACGGGACGGGACGGGAGCTGCGAACGGTCAGCAGCGCGGTGAGCCCGGCGGCGAGTCCGGCCCGGGGGAGAGGCCCGTCCCCGCAAGGAGAGCGGGCTGGAAGGCTGTTGTGCCATTTTGTGGAACATTTGGCTTAACAAAATGGCTTTTTTGGGGAGAGACAAACTTTTCTTTTTCCTTTAAGCAACGCTGCCTGTAAGCTGATACTGCTCCACTCGGGAGAAATAATGTTCTGCACAGGGGAGAAGGTGAGGCGTAACATACATGTACAGGTTGGAAATAGGAAACCCTAAGTGCTGTTTTATCTACTGCTGGTGACTCAAGGTTAAAATCTTTCACACCTCACTTGGAAAAAACGGTGTGGTTACATTCCGTTCAAAATAAATGTAATAGCTTCTTTCTCTGACTTTATTTCTTGCTGTCCAAAATCAATTTTGAGAACAAAAGAAAAGTGCTAGGCTTTGCACCCCTTTTAAGTATGTGGGATCTGCAGTGTGATGATCTAATGTAACCCCGCTGTATACAAATTTTGTCATCTTCTTTCCCCTGTCTTCTTCCCATAGCCATCTCTGCTGCTTAAAAAGGGCTGTCTCTTTTCTCTAGTTTGAAGGAATACTGTAAAGCAGAGAGCATGCACTATAATTGTGGCTCTGAAGCAGAAAACTGCTAGTGAGCAAAGCACAGTGTGTCCCATTCTGGTACAGCGCCTGTACCAGCACTCAAGTTCAGATTGTGCAGCAAGGTTGTGTTGCTAACCATTTTCGTGCCTCTCACGCATACTCTGTCTTGGCAAAGGGATTATTAATCTAGAAGTCTGCTGCGGTTCCTGATCTATTCAAGCAACTCTTCAGACAATGTGAGTGTGAAGTAGTCTACAGTGTTTCCCAACATCTTAAGCTGAACATCCGCAGGTCTCCATAAGAGTTCTTCAGCAAGTTGAGCACCAAGCTCTAGTTCCACTTACTGCAAACCAATTGTATTATCTTTACTGCAATGCAAGCAGTAGTATCTCACTTGGGATGAAGACTCTTTCAGTAGGCAGTGTACAGTTCCAGGGCATGCTTTGTTCCAGGAAAGCACGTAGCTGTGACGTCAGGTATCTGTTTTCAAAGAAATTTCTATTCCTCCATATGAGGAATGCCCACAGATACATTAACACAACCTTCCCTGCTGAAAACTTACTGGAAATTGAAACCTGACCTGGTAATTGAGGTGAGCTGTGGCCAGCTAATTCCCATCTTTCCTAATTTTTATTTTTAGATCTACTGCACTGCATTTTTTTTTTTGAGTTACCGGACACACATTATCCCTCAAAATAATCACAGAACTACGATGGCCATATCGAGGGAGAGCGTTAGCTTTTGAAGCGGGACACATCATCATAAACTAGAAAATATCCAGTTCCTTAAAATGAGAACCTGCTTTCAGAAAGTGTTCCTGCTTTTCTGAGACGTAAGAGATGAAGTGTCATCCTCAAATTCCAGCTTACAACATACCTGGAATTCTCTGATAAAAGCAAGGTGAAAAGCACATTGTCAGAAAATGATGCTGTATGACTGTTTATAACTGGGATGTACTTTACCCAGCCTGCTCCAAAGGAAGCATTACTGAGTGGAAATCAGTGGAAAAGAAGAGTTTTCCTTCTAGGAAGCACATATGTGCAATGAGGAGGCAACTTTAGGCCATTTTTCCAGTTACTGCATATAAGTCTTGGTCAAATTTTCAATTTCCTTTGCGCAGTATGCAGTGTAGCACTGCTTCTGCACAGTGCTTGCTTCTGCATACCCGTCCAGGGAGCGTGTGAACAGGTCCTGCTGCTGCTACAAGCTGCTAGTTAACCTCAGTTGACATGGAAAAGGAAAGGGTAATGAGGAGTCTTCAAGTACAGGAGGATTATGATAAATAAAAATTGCTAGGGGAAACCTGCTTAAAATGTAAGAGCTAAGTACAGGTAATCCATAAGGAACAGGCTATGGTGGAATAAGCAAGCATGAGGAAGCAACCAGCAGTCCTCACTGTGGAGCAAGAGCCCATGGGTGCTAGATACTGTGCAAGCATAGCCGAAGAGTGCTCCAGGGAGTTTATAACCTCTCTAGGTCTAGGTACATAGTACCTACCAGCTCTCTGCAGGCATTAAAGGCAGAGAGTCCCTGCTCCCAAGAAATAAGACTTTTAGTTGCATTTCCAGGATGCCGCTTTTAGTGACCCCCATTTCCAGCATGCTGCTTTTAGCAACTATTTTAATATGGCATTTAAAAGGTTCATATACTGGATATAGTCCCTGTGAAGGCTAAATGATTGACATCATTGACCTCATTTATGTCTGCTTTAAGTCCAGTTCATGTAATTTTGCATTGCACTTACGTCTTCAAGGACAGTGTAAGTATTTACACAAAACTGAAAATGGAATTCAGTCTGAAAATTGAATGAGAAACACAGTGTTAGCAAGTGTGTGACTGTGTCTAGTGCTTTCCACAGCATTAGTTACACAAATACAGGGACAAATGTAAGATTCTTGTTTAAGAAAACATTACTGGAAGCACACAAAGCAAAACGATAATTTTCAACAATGCTCAAATTTGTTTCTTGCGTAGCCATCATTTATTAGCAGCCAGAAATAATCTTACGAGTCATATTTCACCACAATTGGAAACAGACTGGTTTCACTTCTAAAGGAATCTCTGACAGTAATTATGACACAAACATGTAGTAATTATTGTATTGCATGCTGTTAGACTTTCTAAGATGTCTCTTACTTATTTCGGGAAATGCATGTAACACCTTTGTCTGTCCTGCTGGCAGTTCATCCCTCGAGCTAACAGGAAATGAAAGGAAGATTCACCTGAAGGCTTTCTTAGGATGAGATCAGTTTGAATTTATAACCACCCTTCCATGGTTTTTGCATCCGAATAAGGATTAAGAATGTCCAAACCTCTGCTTTAGCCATGGATATTCTGATTCATGTTCTTGGTCTTTTCGAAATTTTTTTCTGCTGAAATCCTAACTTTTCAACTCTTGGTTAGAAAAGGCACATGCCCTTATAAGGTTCTCCTGACTTTTGTTGCTCCATTGTATTGCTCTGCAGATAAACCTCTCGGCTGGTTCGACTTGATTTCCTTTACTGCACACACTCGTGGGGGGCTACACATAAGACAGGGAGCACTGTCTGTCCCTGTAACCATTCTTCTGCAAATTCCGATAGCAGAGGGAAGATGAATCAGTCCAGAAAGGACAAAGCCAGGTCACTTGTTATTCTTTTAGCAACCTCAGAAGAAAGGCCACACGGGCTTAATCATCTCCTTCTAAAATTATCACTCATAGGAACAAGAACCATAAAGACAAGAGGTCAGGATTCCTCTCCTTGACATAGGGAGACCATTAAACGCTTCCTGCAGTTCCCAAATATTTTGCAAGAACTCCTGTTGCGAGCTGAAAATTTCTGAATCATCACAATTTCAAGTCTGTGGTTTTTGTTAGGTCACAGCAAAATTCATTTCAAGGCTGCTGAGGCTCTACTGCACAGTGCTTCATTCACTCCTGAGTGTCTCGTCCAGGAATCTGGAACATTGCTCTTTAAATGAAATTCATTCCTTCTGCTGGTTAACTGCAACTTCAGCGGTACGTAACTTTATGCCGGCTCTCAGTGTAGGAATGAATTTCATCATGTATAAATGGTCCCTAACAGGGCATTAATTAGATTTTTGGCACTCTCAGTGGAAATTCCCTTCTCTTCTCCCTCCTCCCCAGTCTTTCCTAAAGAAATGTTCAGTGTCATCAATGCAGAAAAACGCATTTCCTTTCTCTAGCTGTCCATGGATTATGTTATTTAGTTTGGTCTACCCGAACTGTTGTAGTTTGCCAGTGGTGAGAAGTTCATAGCCACGGCTCTTGTTTAGCAGTTGGGTCTGCAGTACCATCAGCCCCAGGCATTTAACACTCGTGAGTCACACCCTGCAAAATCAGGGGAACAGCTTTGGAGGGCAGGGGGGAAGAGATTTTAATTCTTTTCCAGGTAGAGGGGTTCTTTGGGGGTTTCAGTTTGTTTGTTTGCTTGTTTGTTTGTTTTCCTGATTCTTTAAGGAGGTGTTTACATCACATACAAACTGATTTAAGAATGGAAACTGAGATTCTGACATGCTTCCTGATGCCAGAACTTCAAGAAAAATGAGAACTCTCGTGAGACCCATGACAATGTGAATTGGCAGGCAAGTAGCATGTGATAGACCCTCATTCACAGGAGAAGTTTTTGGAAGGGCGATACCAGCTTGAAAGAGCTGAAAACATGTTTTTCATCACATTTTGAGATGTTTGGTCGAGATTTTCACAGATGCCCAAATCCTGTTCATGTTGCCTGAATCCTTTGGAAATCCCAGCCTGACACCCTGCCGGGGATGTTCTGCAGCATTTCTGGGAACTTGTCAGGGCAGCTCTGGAAATCTGCATTGGCATTTCGGAATGTCTCATGAGCACTGCTGAACAGGACTGTAGGACCTGGCTTGGGACACCAAGCACGGTGTTGCCAGCTCTTGAAAGAGATGTTATTTTAGGCAGGGTTGGAACTATTTTGTCTTAATGAGGAATGTTCCATCTCCTCAGTTAATGTCTGCCTTGCTGAAAGGAAATCCCCCTCTAACTGGCTGCTTGTGCCACTTATTTTCCTCCTTTCAGAGGTTAAGCAGCCCCCAAGGATCACTGCAGGGAATGAGCAAGCCATCTCCTCCTCCAGCTCACGGCCCAGTACTCCTTGCATGGAAGGAAATGGAATCCTGCAGCTTCTCCCCAAAGCAAAGATGACAGAGCTCCAAAAGGCCCTGAAGCAGGGCTACTGGGACAAAATGCACTAGAGAGGATTGCTCCGAGGAGCCTGGGCAGCACGGGGGTTTGCATTGCGGAGCACAGGGGTGACAGATCACCTGTCAGGGGCCAGAACCCCTTCCACAATTAACAGGGGAGACTTAGCAATGCCTGCGATCGTGTGCAAACCTGTACACATTAAGCATTGACAAAGGAAGGAAAAAAGTTATGACAGCTGGAAAAGTGTAGTTTCTTATGACTGTTATTTTCTTTTTAATTTTTGCATTTTGGCCAAAATCCCACCCAGTGGTGGTAATGGGGGAAGGCTCCTAATTCTAGTGGCTGTTTTTATTTAGTCATTATGGGTTTCTAACAATAATTTGACTTTTGAGTAAGAGAGGGTTTTTTTTTTTAATGGAAGGACAACAGTTAGTTATGTCCATGTTGTTAGCATAACTTGTGTCTCCCTCAAAGCCCAGAAACAGAATTGAAACCCTCTCGTTTTCCACAGCAGTCTTAAAAGTACTAAAGCAAGTTAAATAACAGTGATATCACCACCAGCAGCATGAGGTGAACTTGGCCACAAATCCTGGTGTTTGAGTGCGATTGCTTTTATTCTCTCCCAGTGAATATGGCAAATCACACCGAGTCTTGTTTGGTTTTAGGCAGGCCTGGTCAAAATCCAGAAATAAATGCTAGTGCTGGGTTGAGTTTGGCTTGCTGCGAGGAAGTTGAATACACTGAGCAAGCAAACAGCTATTTATTATGATGATTATGGGGGAGTGCGTAACGGGTTGAAATTGAGAGTCACAAAGGGCTGAACAGAGCCAGGAGCATCCAGAAGGAAAATATTTTGGCTCCAAGCTGCAGTTTGTCCCGTTTCCTTCTTACCCCTTCCACCCAGCCTTACATGGAGCCAAGGAGTGTGGATAGTTCTTTGCTGCCAATTTTGAAGGGTTTGCTTT